TCGGCACATGGAGCCACCTGAGCCCTTTTTTCTGGCAGTGCTGAGTTAGGGGCTGTGTAACGCTAATTGGATAAACATGAGTTCCCCTCTAACTCGCTGCAGATGTCTCCTCGGCGCGGGAGCAAGGTGCTCTCCCCTCTCTTCCCGGCCAGGCTGGTGGCTGCCACGGGCACCCGGTGGCAGCTCTGCCCTCCCCGGTGGGTGCTCGGGCACCCGTGGGCGGGAGATGCTCAGCCCCAGCCCCACGCCGGCACCCCCAGCCCACGGCACCAGGCGGGTGCCACAGCCGGGCTGTGGGGTGCCTCCGGCCCCGTCGTGTGCACACGCGTGCAGGGATGTGTGAGCGTGTGTGCGTGTGTGTGTGTGCACACATGTCCTGGGTTTGCGCATGTGTATGGGGAGTGCCGGCACACACGGGTGTGGGGGTGTTGGTACAGCTAGTGGGTATGCACGTGGTCTGGGGCTGTGGCAGCTTTTTTTGGGGGACACATAGGCCTCGCTGCGTGCTCCTGGGGGATTCTCCATGGCACACGAGCGTTCCCTCCCCTGCAGCCCCCCATCCTGTGCCAGGGTACCACATCCCATGTCTGGGTACCACATCCCGTGCCCTGTACCACATCCCTCCAGGAAGAGCTATGGATGTCATCTGTCTGGACTTCTGTAAGGCCTTTGACAGGGTCTCCCACAACATCCCTCTCTCTAAATTGGAGAGATATAGATTTGATGGGTGGACTGTTCGGTGGATGAGGAATTGGTTGGATGGTCACATCCAGAGGGTGGTGGGCAACGGCTCAATGTCCAGATGGAGATCGGTGACAAGTGGTGTCCCTCAGGGGGCCATACTGGAACCAGTACTGTTCAGTATCTTCGTCAATGACATGGACAGTGGGATGGAGTGCACCCTCAGCAAGTTTGTGGATGACACCAAGCTGAGTGGTGCAGTTGACATGACTGAGGGATGAGATGCCATCCAGGGGGACCTGGACAGGCTGGAGAAGTGGGCCCGTGTGAACCTCATGAGGTTCAACAAGGCCGAGCGTGGGGTCCTGCACCGGGGTCAGGGCAACCTCCAGTGTCAGCACAGGCTGGGGATGGAGAACAGCCCTGCCGAGAAGGGCCTGGGGGTAC